TTAATATATTTCTGCAACTCAGGGGTCGCCTTCTTCGCCAACACCTCACTCGCAACACTCTCGTGCAGGGCCTCCATCTCGCGCGCCAGACAAATCAGGGTGTGCTTTGCAGCATCGGCCGTAACACCGGTCATTCCCATGAGAATGGAAACCGCTGTAGCACCCATACTACCATTCGGGACTCCTCCGTCCATATTCGCCTTTCGAGCGGCCTCCTCCTTATCATAACTCCACGCGTCATTGCAATAAATGATTTGTTTTACCCAAATGTCATTGAGTTGAGCGACGAGGGCCATGTCTTCTTCGGGAAGGGTGAGTCCAGTGCAGTAGAGTCCTGTAGCAGTGAGAAACCTGCAAAATGTTTGAACCAGAAATCCATTAGGAGCGTGAGACGTACGGGCCACCAATATCCAAAATCCGCCACGCCAGATATTCATTCCACTGTATATCCTCCTTGAGGCGGATGGGGTCGGTCTGGGCCCTCATAAACACCGCGATTTCCTTGAATACGTCATCGGCGAGAACAGGATCACATGAGCGCATGCGTTCCCCGACGTCATACGCGATCCATTCAACAGGAATGTCGCGGTTGGGCTCCTTATTTCCGCTCAGGCACTTCCAGAGAATCGTGTTGTACTCTCGGCCTTCATCCAATGGTAGACTATCAAGAACATCTGTTTGACGAGTTACGGAGACGAATCAGACGACGGAATGAGCAGTAATAATGTTCACGGACCATCCACCAAAAATAAGAGAGTCACCAGGAAACATGCATGGACCATCCTTTCATCGATAGATTCCGGCCAAATGATGCAGAGTGCATAGGCAAATTTTGCATCGACGAATTTTTGACGGGCCTTCTTGTTAGGGAATGGCCAATGCTCGAGAAAGTATTTATCAAGGTCTATAGCGATCTGGTTGAAGTGGGGGTGGATCTTCGCCGCAAACGTGGTCGGACGAACGCCTTCCATCCATGGCGGAAATGGGGTCATGGGAGTATGTAGGTCTCTTCACTCATTTGCTTTTTATCCGCAAATCATTGATTCTATCTATGCCTGCTCTCGTACTACCATCAGTTACAGCTTCGTCAGTTTAGGCGCCACCGAGCGCCTGTTTACCCGGTTCCGCCTGTTACTCGTTTCCCCTTTCCCGGTATTTTTATTTCTGCCCTGAACTTTCCCAGTGCTCGGCTTTGGTCCATCAAATTCGCTGAGCCGCCTAAACACCATCGGGGGGGTCAATCGGGCGGAATTACGTGGACAACGGTGAGTGGACCAGATTCCAGATTCAGAAAGCACCACATGCTATGTCAATAAAGTATTGCACTAGTTCTGGGGTCACGGGAAGTACGGTAAATGACAGCCGCCGCTGATTGTAAATGGCAAGAGGATGCGCACTGCGCGGGGAACATGTAAAGTAAATCGAAGTCGGGAGGCAGTCCAACATTTGATCGGGATCGCCAGACAGCTAAACGACAACCGCATGCTACGGCGATGGATGTGTTGTCTTGTGTTGTATACAGAAGATTGAAGTTTCGAGGGAATTCTTACAGTCAATTATGTACATCAGGAAAACCGTCACGGTAGCCGAGCCCACTATGAAGCTCTATGAAGCCATATGCAGCGCGGTCAAGCGATTCATAGCGCTCATACCTACATACTCTCTATGCAGCCGCCTTTTAGGCCAGCAGTGCTCTTTAGTGCTGCAGAACACTGCATAGCATTTCTGGTTTTCCGGTTTTCCTGATGTACTCTCAGCATCAAACTTCTCGCAATCAAATCCAGATGTGCCAAGTCCGTACTCCGCATTATCGACATCCAAGCCTTGTCTCAGTTTGCTCAATTGCACCCTGAGTCTGCACCCGCATTCTCTGTGGGTCTCTGCATGTGCTCAATTTACGGAATTAGCCAGACCAGAAACAAATATTAAGTAAAACTTGGAACCCGTACGAAAACTCAATAGGAGTTTGATGTACGTCCCTTCACCCTAGTTAAATGGCCTTTCCCCGATACAGTGCAGCCCATGCGATTTCTTCAAGACGTGAAAATTAGTGCATGTTTTAAAACTCATAAACGGGAAGGGCCGAGCATGGCTACATGGGTAGGTCGTGCCTAAATTTCCCCCAGTTTTCTCGCAGTTCATGCACATTATAACAATTTTCTAAGTGAGAAACTGCACAAGATCAGCTCTTTCGTTGAGAGTACGACCTTGCGTCTGCATCGATCAAGCGTGGGATATTGAACCTTGTAGCTTCGGCCTTCGAAATGTGGCTAAGAATAAAGGATGACACAATAATGTCATGATGCGCACTGCGCGGGGAACTTGTAAAGTAAATCGTAAATGGAGGGATATGAGACAATGATAGCCCAGAAATAGACACGGGGAGATGGAAAGTGTCAGATATATCAAAAGAGCATGGATGTGTGGGTGAAAGCTGAATGTCTTAGGAACAACACATTCACCGTAGCACGCGGCTGTCGTTTACTTGTCTAACGATTGATCGACCGTTGGTCTGCTGGCAATGTGGCATGTTTCGTCCATATGTATACCTCTTCCCACTTCTGACTGATTGGCATCCCTTTTGGTTGTGTGGGATAGCGAGTCGTCGAGCATCTTGGATCACCTTTTTTGGAGGGACGTACGATTACTATGGCTGAATTCACGACGGATGGTGGAAAGAAAGCTAGCTAAGACTTCTAATAGTGGTCAAGTTATTTCACAATTCCTGCCAAGTTGTCTTCCGGTTCAACTTGTGTAAAGATGCTTAAGAATGGCACTGATGTTCCTGCATGTTTCGATACGAGTGCTCCTGTCAACACCCGTTCTAGCGGCAAGACAGAAATATCTGATGAGTATTTATAATATCTGGGAGGCACTTAATTGAATTGGTTATCCAGGCCATAGAACTGTACAGGTTGAGTGGTTTTATTTACCTCAAATTTTCCCCAGAGACATTGTGCCTCTGACACATCCCCTCTGTGTGGAGTGGTTCATAACTTTCAAACCCGAACCTGAACAACACCATTTGCTTTAGAAGGTTTCTCGGGACATTTCAGGCTTTCAGAACAGCCAAAAAAATGGCATCCATTATCTCCGTGGATAATATTCGTCGAAGTATTCATCCCTCACCAATGTTTTGCCCCCCACTGCTTTAGCAACATGGAAATCTAGCAACACCTTGGACCTGCGTTCAACGTTTTAACCATGGACTGATTGAGACATATATGCGACGCTGCACTTGCACTTCAAAAAAAGTACCCACAATGAATCGATTTAATTGTTTTACTTTGTCTTCCTCCGTTCAGAAACTTAGCACCAGTGAATATCAGCCCCACCCTATCACTTATTCCAGATTCATTCCAGATTTTTTAAGCCATCACGCACCTACCTGCGTTGCACATACTGATTTAATGGTGTACCTTCGTTTTTGCTGCCACGATCAACAAGTTTCCACATGTATATACTTCCACCAAAAAGAGATGTGGCACTTTCGAACCAACTGGAAAGTTGTGGGACTCAAGAAAAAAAGTTGCGTCACCTCAAAAAAAAATTGCGGCAACACGAATGGTGCCGCAACTTTTTCGGAGGTACCAAAAGGGCGTAAATGTTGCGGCATATTAAATGTGCATTTTTGGACCCTCATAAAATAGAACTTGGCCAGATCAACAAATTTTATGTGCTACCACTGGAGTTGATGGAATTGACTGACTTCCATGAGTTTGGAGAAACAAATGGAACTCGCTAAGAAGTCACTGCGTTTCAAGGGCGGATCGGCAGAGTAGGTTGACTTGGGCTGACGTCAGTGGACTTCTGCCGACCCGGCGCGGCAAACCCTGCCGAGTCTTGATCGGCAGATCTGTGCCGACCTGGGTTGACGCCTCTGCCTACCCTCTGCCGACTAGCTCCACACAAAATATTTTCTGCCACTGTCAACCTCCAGATTTCCACCAAAATTAGTCCCCAGACCAAATTGAGCCCTCCGAATGCATTGAGAGGGGTTGCGAGACGTAATTTCTTACGGCAGAGGCTTCCCGGTGTACCGTAAATCAGGGTCGGCCGAGCTCTGCCGACGGGGCTCGGCAGAGGCTCTGCCGACGAGGCCTTGAAACGCAGTGAGTGCCCCCAGAGATCTGTTGGCTGGATGCTGTGACAGTTGAACCAATGTTTGCGCCTGTTACCTTCTCGGCAGATGCCGCGATTCAAGGCGCAAATTTGGGGGTGGAAATTGAAGCCCGCTGAGCTGATGTCTTCTTCCCTTTATAATTCAACATTGATTTTACAACGAGGCGAAGGATATTACAGGTAACTTGCAGCGGCAATAGGCCCTGATATTCAGGGTCCTGATGGTAATATTGAAAGGAGAAGTCTATTTACTACCCAGTAGATAGGCTACCAAAGCGCCGTGACCGCCGATGAATGTAGTATACACATGGACGTTGTGTATGTAGGCACAGTACCTACTTGTTCCTTTTAGGGACCGCCGCAGCAATACATCCTCCTCCTCCTCCTATGCAGAGAGATTTGTGCGGCCACTCTTTATTTTACCTTAGCTCGGTACTGCCAGTGCAATAAGCATCTCCACCGTTTTTTTTTGTACCAAAATTTAATGAACAAGGTGGGATCTTTATCAGGTTAGAAGGTAAGGAATTAACGCATTGGTGGTGCATGCTGCACACCTCCTTAAACTGTCAGAAGTTTATTGATGAAGAAAGTTGAGGGGAAGTGGACGGGGTTCGAAGATTCGACAAACAAGTCGGGAGGTTTATTAGGTCGGAAGGAAAGGAAACACGCATTGGTGGTGTATGGTGCACACTTCAACAACAATATGAAGTTTGTATATAGATTCATCACACTCCTCAAGCTTTGGGCTCGGAAAATGTTGAAAGGAGGAGAACGGGGTTCAATTCCTCGCGGATGCATAGCAACCGAATGTCATCTTATTTTTTCCTGGCTCAGGTAACACGGAGATGGGAACTTATTCAGGTTTGAAGGAAGGGAAAGCATCGGTGGTGCACAGTGTACACCTCCCTTCCTAATGGGTTGCTGTCACTGAAGGAGGCGAACGGGGTTCGATACCCTGCCGATGCATTGGTCCGAGTCGACTTCGTGACTTCTTTGTAACGAAATTTACGAAAGAGTTGGGGATTTTTATTAGGGGAAGTTAAAGATAGAATTCAGACGTCAATTCAGCCGTCGATTCTGACACCTGGTTTTGGTGCAAGAATCGACGTGAATCGCTGTTCCTCCTCTGGAGGAGGAACAGCACTTGAATCGACTTCAGAATCGACGACGATTTGCCGTGCATAGAATTTCCTGTTTGTTTCCTGTGTTCTTTTATTTTGCCATATTATTACTTCCCAATTTTATCTTTTATTTATCTTCGTTACCCCCCGACGCTATGTAGCTTCCGCTGTCCGCCAGATCCGCCTGCCCGCGGAAAACGCCATGGCCCAAACAGATACCCTACTATCTCTGCCAGCTTGAAGCTGGCTGTCTGCAAAATAGTGTGATCCGGACTAAAAAATAAAGCCGTCCCAAGAAGGGAAAAGGACAATGCGGACAACACGAGCGATGACACAGTGATCACGGCGGCGGAGATTCATTTAATGCGTAGCGGCAGACGATGCAATACAAAATTAACTCAGAAATCAACACCAGGAGTGGGGTAGGTCAAACTTGATGTCGATTCTGGATTGATTCTGAGAATCGATCATGAATAGACGTCAGAATTGACGGCCGAATCCCATCTTTGACTTCCCCTATTAGGTTAGAAGGAAGGGAAATGAGTATCGGTGGTGTATGGTGCATGCCTTCTTAGACTTTAAGCTGTCCAAAAAAGATTGAAAGGAGGAGAACGGGGTTTGATTCCCGGTCGATGTGTGGCCCACTCGAGCATGATTTTTTTTTTCTCATTCTTTTCTTACAGACTGCAGATGATAATCGCACCTACATGTTCCCCACCAACCGCACTTTTTGTTTACTCGTAACCGAAGCTCAACTCCCAAAATTGACGCCGATCGATCCAGATTTATTTAATATACATCCCGGACTACCGGTTCAGTATTTGAATCGTAAAAAGTTGGTGACTTATTCAAGTTAGATGGATGCGCGGAGGCGAGCATCGGTAGTGCATGGTGCATGCCTTGGGTCTTGTACAAAAAATTGACAGGAGGAGAACGGGGTTCGACTCCCGTCGATGCATGAAGACGGCGCCACTCTCTATTTTTGTGTACTAAATACATTCAACAAATAAGTTGGGATCTTGGGCAGTTTAAGAGGAATGAAATTAAAGTCTCAATGGCGCATGATGCACACCTCCTCAAACTGCTCATTGAGCAAAGGTTGCAACTTGAAGGAGGAGGACGGGGTTCGATTCCCCGCTTCTTTTTTTCTTTGCACCCAATTTTAGCGAACAAAGTGCCAGGTGAGAAGAAAAAGAATTAAAGCATCAGTTGTGCATTCTGCACCCCTCCTTAAACTGTGGATTAATTGATGAAAAGAGTTTAAAGGAGGAGAACGGGCTTCGACCACCCGCCGAGGCTTCTGTCCCCTCTTTCTTCCGCCCTGGTATTAAATCCAGCGAACAAGTTATAGTGCACATTTCCTGAAACTCACTGCTGAGTGAAGATGGGGAAGCCACTGACGTACTACATAGCTGAAGCCGGTGGTGATTTTTGTCCAGAAATTTAATTAAACATAGGATGTTTGTGTGGTTAGAAGGAAGGGAAATAAGCATCGGTGGTGTATGGTGCACGCCTCCTTAAACTATCGAAACGCGAGCTGAAAGGAGTTCAATTCTCCGCCAATGCACAGATCTTCTTTTTTTTGCAATTAAATTCAAACAAAAGCTGGGATCTTGGGCAGGTTGAGAGGAATTAAATTAAAGCATCGGTGGAAAACATCGGTTGTGCAAGCTGCACACCTCCTTAAACTGTAGGTTAATTGATGAAGAAAGCGACTCCCCGCCGATGCACCCACTGTTTCTCGCTTTTTTTCTGTGCAAAAAATCCCTACAGATTGGGATGCTTAGCAGCTTTGAAGAAAAGGGAATTAAAGCATCGGTGGTGCATGGCGCACGCTTCCATTAAATTACTTGGCGATGCGGGAATGCATAAGGAAGCGGCCGGGGTTCGATTCCCCGCCAATGCATGAGAGAGAGAAGATTTTTTTTTGTTCAAATTTCGCAATAGATGACTTCAGATACTAGTGGGAGCCGGGAGCCAAAATTAGGGACCCCTCCAGCGCATTGAAGTGTCGCAGGAAACTCGTTTTATTCCTCCGGGCATGAAGAGCAACAGCGTCTTTGTGAAATTCAACAAATAAGTGGGGAGGTTTATCAGGTTAAAAGGATAAAGCATCGGTGGTGCATGGCGCACACCTTCCTGATCTATCGCACCCCAGTGTAAACTTGATAGTAGGAGAGGACGGGGTTCGATTCCCCACCGATACTTTCGACCCAATTATTATCTTTTTTAAAACGAAATTCAACCAAAAGTTGGAGCATTAACGAGGTGAGAAGGAAGGGAATAAAGCATTGGTGGTGTATGGTGCATGCCTTTTTACTATGAGATACCCCCAGTGAAGTGAAAGAGGAGGACGGGGTTCGATTCCCCCGCCAATCCATTTGAAAAGGTTCGCCGTTCATTTCTTTTGTAAAACGAACACAAGTTGGCAGCTTATTCAGTTGAGAAGGGAATTAAAGTATCGGTGGTGTATGGTGCACACCTCCTAAGGTTACACTGGCACGAGACGCGTTGGCTGAAAGGAGGAGGACGGGGTTCGATTCCCTATCGATGCATAGATAATTCTTGCTCTCCTTTTTGTTGTTGAAAAATCCAACCAAAAGTCTGGATGATTATCAGCTTAGAAGGAAGGGAATACGCATCGGTGGTGCACGGTGCACGCCTCTTTACTGTGAACGCAATGAATATAATTTATACAGGGAGGGACTCGGGTTCGATTCCCGGCCGATGCGTATAGATGGATTAGACCGTCGATTTTTTTTTTGTTCTTTCCTTTACTTAGAAAAAGATACGGACTGTCAGGTTATAATTTATAAATCGTCACAAAGCACAAAGCGCGCTATAAACGAAAACTCAACTTGAAGCACAATAGGCGGCCGATCACGTCTACCGTGGGAACCCTGACCACATCGCGTCCTGCCCGCAGCTTCAACACCAAGAACGTTTAAACTCTTCCTGGCTTCCTGCTTATCGTGCTGCAGCCCCGACGACGAAGGGCCCCACGGCGTCCATCAAAAGCCCCACACTGAGCTTCAAGAGCCCCTCCGCATTGGACGCGGACTCAGGTAGGCAGCCGCGCCTACCCATTGTCTATCTAGTTACTTCTCTCTCTCGCCGCCGTTTATCTTGTATTGTATTCTATGTGGACCGTCCGTCCTTCCCTCCTCACCCGCGCGCGTTCTTTCCGCGTCGCTCTTGTCATTCTCACTTCGCTCTTTTTCAATTTATTCCCATTTCATTTTGTTATTTTTTATATTATTTCGCTCTTCGCCTTTCATTTCGTATGCACACTCCCCTTTCCCATCAACCTTCCCGCCTGACCCGCTCTCTTATGATTTCCCCGCTGACGCTACTTTCCCCCGTGTAGGAGCCGCGGAGAAAGCGGACGAGGACGAAGCGCCCGTAAAGCCCTAAGAGCCTGCGGGCGGCGTCGACGTGCCCGACGCGCCTAAAGTCGACGCGCAGGCGCCGCATCGCACGGATGACGCACCGGCGCCGCACCACGCGGACGATGCGCCCGCAGTCGACACGGCAGCAGCTGATGGTGGTCCTGCGCCGAAGACGATCGACACGCCCGCGGCCTACGCGCAGCCTGTTGCGGTGGCGATGGTGTTGGGTCTGTGGTCGAGGAAGCGGGGCTTGTTGTAGCTTGTGCACAGTACCTCGTCGTCCTCGTCGGCGACGGCGGCAGATTGACTCCACTGCCAGCCGGCCCACACGCGGACACGGGCGCGGACCTCCCGCTCGAGACACCGCACCGGCCGGTGGGAGAGAGGTATGCCCGTATTTCCTCACCCACACTTCCATACCGGGTCTCATACTCATCGTAGTTTTCCGTTCTTCGTACATGTCCCGCCCAATGCCATCGACAAGCGGCATTCGCTACGTTATACCGCCTCGCGCATTCCCGCGTCGGACGCCCATCACCCCCACGGCGCTGGCTTGTACAGTACCCGCACCTGCGCGAGTCCTGCGGCGTGTGTGTATTCTCGCATTTATATATCGGACATGCATCGCTAACGCGTTTTAATTACGCGGTCCGAGTGGGCATAAATTATACCTACTCAACCCGCGTAAATCCGCAGCGCATCACCTCCGCCTCGGTCCTGCTCCCCATCGTGCCGGCCGGCGTGACGTGTGTTTGGCTGCTCGATGCGGCGCGCCAGGCATGGATGAAGCTCCCGCCGCCGCCAGCGTTCACGAACATATCTTGTATTGACGGGGGCGCCCTTATCTTCCTCCTCCGAGTCATTCTCCTTCTGTTTCTTCGTCCCTCCCCGCTGCCGCCAGAGCCTAACAGGCCCCGCGCGCAGATGCGCATCCCGCGCGAGAGAGACCGCGCGACACGGCGGAGAGGGGCGGCGCGAATCGTGCGCTACTGTCTTCGTGCCCATGCGCCGGCCGCCCTGTCTTCATGTGGGCACATCATCGCGGTGCCTACTACCGCGTGGGCCCACTAGCGCGAGAGGTCCTGTCGCGGCGTAACTGTCCTTTGACTCCGATTATGTGGGCTGGCGGACTTCCGCGTGCGGGGACAGATGGAGCTCGTTTTGGGACGGCGGTGTCTGCTATCCGTCCCGTATTGTCTCGGATGTGTGCGCGCGACTCTGTGCCAGCGTCGCCCGTCGCGATTCTTGCTATCATGCCCCGCTACCCGGGCAGGACCAAGGCGGCGCTGGTGGCGCGCGCGCGACCTCGCCGTTATGGGCGGCTGTGGTGGCTCCGCCTTCCTCGTCGTTGTAATCTCAGGCGCGCTTGTGACCCTGCGCACGCCATGCGCGTGTTCGCTGTGGGCGTAGATGCGCGAGAGTAGGTAGAGAAGGCCGACTCTGCTGCTGCTGGTGC